GCGGGTCATAAATTAATTTATTGAATGAAATCAAATCTTAAACTACTAATGGATGCCGTAGGAGGTCGACCGGAATTTTTAGCGATGATTTCTTGGCATGTAACAGATAGAAAACTCAGGGTAAACATTCATAGAACCGAGACAAGGGGCAGTGGCATATATTTCATGTATATTTTGAACACAAAGAGGATTACCCCGGTACCCTTTGCCAAAAAAAATCTTCTTTTTCTTCTATTTGCCAACGGACTTTATGTTATGAATTGTAGTTTCACTTTACATATTCGGTATTTATTCTAATTTAAGCTCCACGTATTCAGGTATATAGTATCTTGGAATTAGACTATTTCTTTCTTTTCGGGCGGGGACTCCAAGCAATCAACATGCATGTGTATAACGGCACTGTAGATTTTCTTATTAATTATAAAAAGTAGCCGGTCCGGTACATGAATGGATCGGTTAGAAATCAAAGTTATAATTTTAATTAGATTAGAGGGTTGAAAATAGAGAGCACAAAAAAGAGGAGGGTGGGGTGGGGATGTTCCACGGGGAATATTTCCTTCTTATGAACTCTACATCTGAAAGGTTTATTTTTTTTTTATTTAATTGAAAGAGAGAAAAACAAATGTAAGACAAATTGTGAATGGTCTTTCTTCCTTTCTCCAATGCCAAAAAATTGCCTCCGTTGAAATTTTGCAAACATCCCATAGAGCAAATTACATGGATGATTAATTTTGACCATTTGGTATATAGCTGTGTTTTAAGTGAGACGTACACGTGGGTCATAAATTAATTTATTGAATGAAATCAAATCTTTAACTATTAATGGATGCCGTAGGAGGTCGACCGGAATTTTTAGCGATGATTTCTTGGCATGTAACAGATAGAAAATTCAGGGTAAACATTCATAGAACCGAGACAAGGGGCAGTGGCATATATTTCATGTATATTTTGAACACAAAGAGGATTACCCCGGTACCCTTTGCCAAAAAAAATCTTCTTTTTCTTCTATTTGCCAACGGACTTTATGTTATGAATTGTAGTTTCACTTTACATATTCGGTATTTATTCTAATTTAAGCTCCACGTATTCAGGTATATAGTATCTTAGAATTAGACTATTTCTTTCTTTTCGGGCGGGGACTCCAAGCAATCAACATGCATGTGTATAACGGCACTGTAGATTTTCTTATTAATTATAAAAAGTAGCCGGTCCGGTACATGAATGGATCGGTTAGAAATCAAAGTTATAATTTTAATTAGATTAGAGGGTTGAAAATAGAGAGCACAAAAAAGAGGAGGGTGGGGTGGGGATGTTCCACGGGGAATATTTCCTTCTTATGAACTCTACATCTGAAAGGTTTATTTTTTTTTTATTTAATTGAAAGAGAGAAAAACAAATGTAAGACAAATTGTGAATGGTCTTTCTTCCTTTCTTCAATGCCAAGAAATTGCCTCCGTTGAAATTTTGCAAACATCCCATAGAGCAAATTACATGGATGATTAATTTTGACCATTTGGTATATAGCTGTGTTTTAAGTGAGACGTACACGTGGGTCATAAATTAATTTATTGAATGAAATCAAATCTTTAACTATTAATGGATGCCGTAGGAGGTCGACCGGAATTTTTAGCGATGATTTCTTGGCATGTAACAGATAGAAAACTCAGGGTAAACATTCATAGAACCGAGACAAGGGGCAGTGGCATATATTTCATGTATATTTTGAACACAAAGAGGATTACCCCGGTACCCTTTGCCAAAAATAATCTTCTTTTTCTTTTATTTGCCAACGGACTTTATGTTATGAATTGTAGTGTCGCTTTCCATATTCGGTATTTATTCTAATTTAAGCTCCATGAAGTAAAAATCACGTGATTCAGGAATATAGTATCTTGGAGTTAGACTATTTCTTTCTTTTCGGGCGGGGACTCCAAGCAATCAACATGCATGTGTATAACGGCACTGTAGATTTTATTATGAAATAAAAAAAGTTGGCAGACCGGTTCATGAATGAATCGGTTAGAAATCAAAGTTTTAATTTCAATTAGATTAGAGGGTTGAAAATAGAGAGCACAAAAAAAAAAGGGGGGGGATGGGGATGTTCCACAGGGATAATTTCTTTCTTATGAACTCTACATCTGAAAGGTTTATTTTTTTTTTATTTAATTGATAGAGAGAAAAACAAATGTAAGACAAATTGTGAATGGTCTTACTTCCTTTCTCCCATGCCAAGAAATTGCCTCCGTTGCAATTTTGCAAACATCCCATAGAGCAAATTACATGGATGATTAATTTTGACCATTTGGTATATGGCTGTATTTTAAGTGAGATGTACACGCGGGTCATAAATTAATTTATTGAATGAAATCAAATCTTAAACTACTAATGGATGCCGTAGGAGGTCGACCGGAATTTTTAGCGATGATTTCTTGGCATGTAACAGATAGAAAACTCAGGGTAAACATTCATAGAACCGAGACAAGGGGCAGTGGCATATATTTCATGTATATTTTGAACACAAAGAGGATTACCCCGGTACCCTTTGCCAAAAAAAATCTTCTTTTTCTTCTATTTGCCAACGGACTTTATGTTCTGAATTGTAGTTTCACTTTACATATTCGGTATTTATTCTAATTTAAGCTCCACGTATTCAGGTATATAGTATCTTGGAGTTAGATTATTTCTTTCTTTTCGGGCGGGGACTCCAAGCAATCAACATGCATGTGTATAACGGCACTGTAGATTTTCTTATCAAATATAAAAAGTAGCCGGTCCGGTACATGAATGGATCGGTTAGAAATCAAAGTTATAATTTTAATTAGATTAGAGGGTTGAAAATAGAGAGCACAAAAAAGAGGAGGGTGGGGTGGGGATGTTCCACAGGGAATATTTCCTTCTTATGAACTCTACATCTGAAAGGTTTATTTTTTTTTTATTTAATTAAAAGAGAGAAAAACAAATGTAAGACAAATTGTGAATGGTCTTTCTTCCTTTCTCCCATGCCAAGAAATTGTCTCCGTTGAAATTTTGCAAACATCCCATAGAGCAAATTACATGGATGATTAATTTTGACCATTTGGTATATAGCTGTGTTTTAAGTGAGACGTACACGCGGGTCATAAATTAATTTATTGAATGAAATCAAATCTTTAACTACTAATGGATGCCGTAGGAGATCGACCGGAATTTTTAGCGATGATTTCTTGGCATGTAACAGATAGAAAGCTCAGGGTAAACATTCATGGAACCGAGACAAGGGGCAGTGGCATATAATTCATGTATATTTTGAACACAAAGAGGATTACCCCGGTACCCTTTGCCAAAAATAATCTTCTTTTTCTTCTATTTGCCAACGGACTTTATGTTATGAATTGTAGTTTCACTTTCCATATTCGGTATTTATTCTAATTTAAGCTCCACGTAGTAAAAATCACGTGATTCAGGAATATAGTATCTTGGAGTTAGACTATTTCTTTCTTTTCGGGCGGGGACTCCAAGCAATCAACATGCATGTGTATAACGGCACTGTAAATTTTATTATGAAATAAAAAAAGTTGCCGGTCCGGTACATGAATGAATCGGTTAGAAATCAAAGTTTTAATTTCAATTAGATTAGAGGGTTGAAAATAGAGAGCACAAAAAAGGGGGGGGGGGGGGATGGGGATGTTCCACAGGGATTATTTCCTTCTTATGAACTCTACATCTGAAAGGTTTATTTTTTTTATTTAATTGAAAGAGAGAAAAACAAATGTAAGACAAATTGTGAATGGTCTTTCTTCCTTTCTCCCATGCCAAGAAATTGCCTCCGTTGCAATTTTGCAAACATCCCATAGAGCAAATTACATGGATGATTAATTTTGACCATTTGGTATATGGCTGTGTTTTAAGTGAGATGTACACGCGGGTCATAAATTAATTTATTGAATGAAATCAAATCTTTAACTACTAATGGATGCCGTAGAAGATCGACCGGAATTTTTAGCGATGATTTCTTGGCATGTAACAGATAGAAAACTCAGGGTTAACATTCATAGAACCGAGACAGGGGGCAGTGGCAAATATTTCATGTATATTTTGAACACAAAGAGGATTACCCCGGTACCCTTTGCCAAAAATAATCTTTTTTTCTTCTATTTGCCAACGGACTTTATGTTCTGAATTGTAGTTTCACTTTCCATATTCGGTATTTATTCTCATTTAAGCTCCACGTCTAAATAAAAAAAGTTGGCGGTCCGGTGCATGAATGGATCGGTTAGAAATCAAAGTTTTAACTTTAATTAGATTAGAGGGTTGAAAATAGAGAGCACAAAAACAAAGGGGGGCGGGGTGTTCCACAGGGATTATTTCCTTCTTATGAACTCTACATCTGAAAGGTTTAATTTTTTTTTATTTAATTGAAAGAGAGAAAAACAAATGTAAGACAAATTGTGAATGGTCTTTCTTCCTTTCTCCCATGCCAAGAAATTGCCTCCGTTGAAATTTTGCAAACATCCCATAGAGCAAATTACATGGAAGATTAATTTTGACCATTTGGTATATGGCTGTGTTTTAAGTGAGAAGTACACGCGGGTCATCAATTAATTTATTGAAAGAAATCAAATCTTAAACTACTAATGGATGCCGTAGGAGGTCGGCCGGAATTTTTAGCGATGATTTCTTGGCATGTAACAGATAGAAAACTCAGGGTAAACATTCATAGAACCGAGACAAGGGGCAGTGGCAAATTTTTCATGTATATTTTGAAAACAAAGAGGATTACCCCGGTACCCTTTGCCAAAAATAATCTTCTTTTTCTTCTATTTGCCAACGGACTTTATGTTCTGAATTGTAGTTTCACTTTCCATATTCGGTATTTATTCTAATTTAAGCTCCACGTATTCAGGTATATAGTATCTTGGAGTTAGACTATTTCTTTCTTTTCGGGCGGGGACTCCAAGCAATCAACATGCATGTGTATAACGGCACTGTAGATTTTCTTATTACATAAAAAAGAGTTGCCGGTCCGGTACATGAATGGATCGGTTAGAAATCAAAGTTTTAATCTTAATTAGATTAGAAGGTTGAAAATAGAGAGCACAAACAAAAAAAGGGAGGGGGATGGGGGTGTCCCACAGGGATTATTTCCTTCTTATGAACTCTACATCTGAAAGGTTTAATTTTTTTTAATTTAATTGAAAGAGAGAAAAACAAATGTAAGACAAATTGTGAATGGTCTTTCTTCCTTTCTCCCATGCCAAGAAATTGCCTCCGTTGAAATTTTGCAAACATCCCATAGAGCAAATTACATGGTTGATTAATTTTGACCATTTGGTATATGGCTGTGTTTTAAGTGAGATGTACACGCGGGTCATAAATTAATTTATTGAATGAAATCAAATCTTTAACTACTAATGGATGCCGTAGGAGGTCGACCGGAATTTTTAGCGATGATTTCTTGGCATGATACAGATAGAAAACTCAGGGTTAACATTCATAGAACCGAGACAAGGGGCAGTGGCAAATATTTCATGTATATTTTGAACACAAAGAGGATAACCCCGGTACCCTTTGCCAAAAATAATCTTGTTTTTCTTCTATTTGCCAACGGACTTTATGTTATGAATTGTAGTTTCACTTTCCATATTCGGTATTTATTCTAATTTAAGCTCCAAGTATTCAGGTATATAGTATCTTGGAGTTAGACTATTTCTTTCTTTTCGGGCGGGAACTCCAAGCAATCAACATGCATGTGTATAACAGCACTGTAGATTTTCTTATTAAATAAAAAAAGTTGCCGGTCCGGTACATAAATGGATCGGTTAGAAATCAAAGTTTTAATTTTAATTAGATTAGAGGGTTGAAAATAGAGAGCACAAAAAAAGGGGGGGAGGTGGGGGTGTTCCACAGGGAATATTTCCTTCTTATGAACTCTACATCTGAAAGGTTTAATTTTTTTTTATTTAATTGAAAGAGAGAAAAACAAATGTAAGACAAATTGTGAATGGTCTTTCTTCCTTTCTCCAGTAACAGATAGAAAACTCAGGGTAAACATTCATAGAACCGAGACAAGGGGCAGTGGCAAATATTTCATGTATATTTTTAACACAAAGAGGATTACCCCGGTACCCTTTGCCAAAAATAATCTTCTTTTTCTTCTATTTGCCAACGGACTATATGTTATGAATTGTAGTTTCACTTTCCATATTCGGTATTTATTCTAATTTAAGCTCCACGTAGTAAAAATCACGTGATTCAGGAATATAGTATCTTGGAGTTAGACTATTTCTTTCTTTTCGGGAGGGGTCTCCAAGCAATCAACATGCATGTGTATAACGGCACTGTAGATTTTCTTATTAAATAATAAAAGTTGCCGGTCTGGTACATGAATGGATCGGTAAGAAATCAAAGTTTTAACTTTAATTAGATTAGAGGGTTGAAAATAGAGAGCACAAAAAAGGGGGTGGGGTGAGGGTGTTCTACAGGGAATATTTCCTTCTAATGAACTCTACATCTGAAAGGTTTATTTATTTTTTTTATTTAATTGAAAGAGAGAAAAACAAATGTAAGACAAATTGTGAATGGTCTTTCTTCCTTTCTCCCATGCCAAGAAATTGCCTCCGTTGAATTTTTGCAAACATCCCATAGAGCAAATTACATGGATGATTAATTTTGACCATTTGGTATATGGCTGTGTTTTAAGTGAGATGTACACGCGGGTCATAAATTAATTTATTGAATGAAATCAAATTTTTAACTACTAATGGATGCCGTAGGAGGTCGACCGGAATTTTTAGCGATGATTTCTTGGCATGTAACAGATAGAAAACTCAGGGTTAACATTCATAAAACCGAGACAAGGGGCAGTGGCAAATATTTCATGTATATTTTGAACACAAAGAGGATTACCCCGGTACCCTTTGCCAAAATAATCTTTTTTTTCTTCTATTTGCCAACGGACTTTATGTTCTGAATTGTAGTTTCACTTTCCATATTCGGTATTTATTCTAATTTAAGCTCCACGTATTCAGGTATATAGTATCTTGGAGTTAGACTATTTCTTTCTTTTCGGGCGGGGACTCCAAGCAATCAACATGCATGTGTATAACGGCACTGTAGATTTTCTTATTAAATAAAAAAAAGTTGCCGGTCCGGTACATGAATGGATCGGTTAGAAATCAAAGTTTTAATTTTAATTAGATTAGAAGGTTGAAAATAGAGAGCACAAAAAAAAGGGAGGGGGATGGGGGTGTCCCACAGGGAATATTTCTTTCTTATGAACTCTACATCTGAAAGGTTTAATTTTTTTTTTATTTTATGTAAGAGAGAAAAACAAATGTAAGACAAATTGTGAATGGTCTTTCTTCCTTTCTCCCATGCCAAGAAATTGCCTCCGTTGAAATTTTGCAAACATCCCATAGAGCAAAGTACATGGATGATTAATTTCGACCATTCGGTATATGGCTGTGTTTTAAGTGAGACGTACACGCGGGTCATAAATTACTTTTATGAATTAAATCAAATCTTTAACTACTAATGGATGCCGTAAGAGGTCGACCGGAATTTTTAGCGATGATTTCTTGGCATGTAACAGATAGAAAACTCAGGGTAAACATTCATAGAACCGAGACAAGGGGCAGTGACATATATTTGATGTATATTTTGAACACAAAGAGGATTACCCCGGTACCCTTTGCCAAAAATAATCTTCTTTTTCTTTTATTTGCCAACGGACTTTATGTTATGAATTGTAGTTTCACTTTCCATATTCGGTATTTATTCTAATTTAAGCTCCACGTAGTAAAAATCACGTGATTTAGGAATATAGTATCTTGGAGTTGGACTATTTCTTTCTTTTCGGGCGGGGACTCCAAGCAATCAACATGCATGTGTATAACGGCACTGTAGATTTTCTTATTAAATAATAAAAGTTGCCGGTCTGGTACATGAATGGATCGGTTAGAAATCTGACAGTTTCTATCCGACTGATTTAAATAGAAAAGGATGTGCGATATACTGTATATCTAGGTTGATGGAAATATCATAAGATTCTATATTTTTGTCCAGTTTCCAATGTCAAAATAATTTAAATGAGAAGATATTTACCTCAAAGGTTCATTTTCCAACGATGCTGAAATGTTTAATGTTATAAAACTAACACCTCGTTCAAATAAGATGCAAATACATGAAAGCTGAACGGATAATCTATCCTGCTTGAACTACTGATGTCATGCAACAATCATTTTTCAATTGTGGCATCAGATATTTTGTATTGTGACGTCAAAATTTTACAGGAACCTGGGTGATGTCCAGTAATGGCAGACAAATAGCAATAAGGTGTATAGGAAAACATGACCTAACATCTCGTTTATATAAGATGCAAATACATGGAAGCTGAATGGTTGGATGTGTTCAATATGAAAATAACAGTTAAAAGGTCAAAATCACAAAACAGCCGTTGGACTATGAGTATTACTTTAGAGCAAGTTTAGGGGGAAATGGGTCGTAGAGGGGGTCAAATAGTGTTCAATGGAAGCAAATGCTCTTTAAATTATGCGTGTTTCAAAAATTGAGTAAAAATTACAGGGAAAGTTGGGTCATCTTTTCAGACTTAAGTCAAATAATGACTAATGTATGAGGGGGCGGACAGGGTAAAGGGAGACATTCTATGTTTTTATACGACCGCAAAAAATTTTGAGGTCGTATATTGGTATCACGTCGTCGTCGTCGTCGATGTCCGAAGACATTTGGTTTCTGGACAATAACTTTAGTATGAGTAAATAGACATCTATGAAATTACAACACAAGGTTTATAACCACAAAAGGAAAGTTGGGATTGATTTTGGGGGTGATGGTCTTAACAGTTTAGGAATAAGGCGCCAAAAAAGGGCCAAAATAAGCATTTTTTCTAGTTTCCAGACAATAACTTGTGGAACGGTGTATGAATCTCTCTGAAATTATACCACAAGTTTCCATACCATAAAGGAATGGTTTTGGGGGGTTATAGCTTAAACTGTTTAGAAATTAGGGGCAAAAAAGGGGGAAAAAGGTTTCCTGGTTAATGGACAATTTAAAAGCAGTGTAAGGGAAATAATCCAAACACATTTAAAGTACAATGCTGTGTATGTTTGGATTACCTCCGTTACACTGCTTTTAAATTATGTATAAAGAAATGTTGTATTGTCTTGATGTGATTAGCTGTCAATTCATATTTAGAAGTTACTATTAATTAATTTTAGCCATGATTATGTATGTCATTTTCTATTTTATGACTTTTATGATGTATTTAAATGGGTAATTATGGATGCAAATTCCATTGGAGGGGGGGGGGGGGGGGGGGGTCAATTCGCAACATCATAGTGTATTGCACAATAGCCAATAGCAAACAATTGAATATAAATTCAAATCAAATAATCAATTCTAAGTTCTTTGACTACAGTTATTCTGTGTCAGAAACCTATTATGTGTCAAATATTTAATTACAATCCAAATTCAGACCTGTATCAAGCTTGAATATTGTTTCCATTTCTGCCCCAACTGTTTAGGGTTGGACCTCTGCGGTCGTATCCAGCTGCGCTCGGCGAAGCAATTTATTGTTATATGTATTTCTATTTGTATCCATCTGATGAGTTAAGCCTTTTTAACTGATTTTTATAGTTCGTTCTTATGTTGTACTGTTACACCACTGTCCCAGGTTAGAGGGAGGTTGGGAATCCCGCTAATATGTTTAACCCACCACATTCTCTATGCATGTGTCTGTTCCTAGTCAGGAGCCTGTCATTCAGTGGTTGTCGTTTGTTGCTGTGTTACATTTTTGTTTTTGCTTCATATTTGTAGAGTAATAAGGCCGTTAGGTTTCCCGTTAGCTGACTATGCGGAAAGGGCTTTGCTCATTGTGAAGGCCATACGATTATCCATAGTTGTTAATTTCTATGTCATTAAGTCTCTCGTGGTGAAAAGTTGTCTCATTGGCAATCACACCACATCTTCTTTTTTATATGTATAGAGACACATGTCAAAAGTGGGACTCGGTGGCCAAGTGGTCTAAGTAGTTACTACTGTATCACTAGCCAGTCAACACTGAGGTTGTGAGTTTCGAATCCCGCTCATGCGGGTGCACTCGACTCCAATCTTAATTGGCTAGGAGTGTCCGTTTTCCTATCGAAGGTCGGTGGTTTTCTCCGGGCACTCCGGCTTCCTCCACCAATCAAAACTGGCTGCCACTAAAATTATAGCTCAAAAGCGGTACTTAAAAATGGCGTTAACAACACATAAATCAAATCAAACACATATCAAAACCTTTTTTTCAGACAAATTGCTTCAAAATTAACTGATATGCAAAGATTTTGACAGAAAAGGGATGACGTTACTGAATGTAGAGTAACGTTATTTTTACTCTGAGGTATTGAAAAAATGTGTAATGGGATCTGAATGGTGTTTGATATTTTGTTGTCATTTCCCCTGTCCAGTTTCGTAAATTTCTTATCAATTTTACTGATTTGATTTTATTTCGACCTACATGTAACTGGGTGCACATTCAGCATAGAAAAAAAAACCATATCTTCAACTTAACCCTATCAAACTAGACAAAGGTAATGCCAGCCTACTTTCATGCAAGGATAAAGTGCTTTAAGATTTGATTAAGTACACTGTGATTTTCAAGTAGTTTGAATTGATTGATTTGAGGTTGCAAATTGTCCGGAGCAAATATTTCAGGCATTATCAGGACGATACAATACAATTTGAATTAGTTGTGTCTAAAAGACATATTTAATTAAATGCAGCCATCAAAAAAGGTTATTTATAAAAACATTCCATCAGTTGTAAAAGTGATAAATAAAATAATACATATTTTTATTATAGTATTCACTTTGTATGATGTAAACGTGTGAGCTGTGTGCGTACTTGTGGACTATATGCATGTAAACAAAAGTATCTCTTTAATTTATTTTTTGCGTTCGGAGCGCTTTTTGGGATAAAACT